CATAACTGAATTACATGACCTAAAATAAGGAAACAAACAGTAACTGTTTGTTAGAGGAAAGCTCAAATTAAGAAAGAAATTAAGGAAGTTCTCTTTTTTCTTTTTTCTTATTCCTTTTTTTTTTTTTACCCCCAGAACAGAAGACCTTTTTCATTTAAAAGATAAACACTACTGAGCTGAGAGAGGTTATTTATACCTCTGTCATGTTGAGGTTAAATTTTTGTGTTTGTTTTGTTGTTACTGTTTCCTTCAAGGATAGACCCTTGCATATGTTTTTATTTGTTCTAAAATGGGGACCTACAACATTTGGTTAAGGAAAACCAAATGTTTTGGGGGAGTAATTATCAAAGTTTGCATTTGGGTTAAGAAGAAACATTTTTTGTATGTGAAAAACTGGGAGAGGGAAAGTCTGTCTTTCTGTAAGGTTGATGTTTTACTGGTTATTTCCTTAAAGTTTTAATACGTACGTGTGGATAAACCTCAGAATGCTTCTACGAAATCCAGAAAAACATTTATCTCGCATTATCGGCATCTTAGCTTTTATTTTGCACTCTTTTTGTCTACCGATACTAAAATGTTCACAGCTGTATAGGTATGTGCAGGAACTGCTTCTATTCCATTTGATCTATTTTTAAATGCAAGAGCTTTTTGTATTTAATACGCATTACTGTGCTTGTAGTCTAATACTTCAAAACCTTAGTGACCTTGGTTCACCCACTTGTACCTTGTACATTATCATGCAGTCTTTAATTATATGATAACATGCTATTTTTCTCCCTCGAAGGAAATCCTTGCATTAAATAGACGGCATTTAATCATTATGCAGCTATCTAGTGTTTTTAATTGTTCGGTGTGTGGTTCCAGATCTTCCGTACTGTATAATTTTCAAACCTTGCTCTGCAGATAGAATTAAGAATTTGCCTTTATGCTTTACTGTACCTTTTAGCAACAGGTTTTCTCTAAGACTTTCTGGCAAAACCCAATCTCTGAAGCCCGGGTTATTTTGCAGAAACATTTTAAGTTCTAGGAGCTTCCCTTGCCAGCTCTTTTGATGGGCTGCTGGGGTTTGTATACTTCTTACAGTAGTTGCAGAACTGGGGTAGTCACTCCATGAAGATTCTTTCAAGCCAGAAAAGTGAGAGCAGTGATCCTCCATGAAAAGTGTAGGAATTGAGAGGGTTGTTGGCCTAGGCATCTTTGTTTGAAGTCATGATTTCATTCTTCTTGGTTCTCAGTTTCATATTCGGCCATTCTTACTTGTATCCTGGTTCCTTGTATGTCTCATGTCCTGCATCTCTGTTTTCATTCTCCCTCATCCAAGTAATTTCTAAGGTTAGCCAGTGTCTATTTCAAGTTCATTATCTGTTCTCACACAGTACCAGTCTTCCCTCATTTCACTTACTTTCCAGAATTACAGTTCTATTCTGGCTCCAGATTTGCACCCCTTTTTCTCAGGGTGAGTCTGCACAGATGGCTATTGAAGGTTGCACATCTTTCTACCCATGATCTGAGTCAGCTGATGCAAGTCAACTTCAGTACAACAGCCTTGTGGCTACTTCGGCGTGACCGTGAAGTGCTACGGAGGAGCTAAGTCTGCCTCTGTGCTGTGCTAGCAAGGTTACACACAACCGTAATGCAAAGATCAGCTGTCTGCCAAATGGTGTCCTTGCTATAGTGTGCGTGTACATTGAAATTGTGCATTTCCAAAACTGTATGTTTCTAAAAGCTTTAAATTGTGTATTAGAAAACAGTTTGGAATTTAGGCGTATTTTTAATATGCATACAGCAGTTTTAGCATGAACACTGTGGATTTTCCTTATCTGTAAACTGAGATGGCACTTATTGATTTGTATTATTTATTTCAGCGTGTGAAAGAAACCAGAATGATATGTTACAAGTCCTTATAATATTTTTTCTTGTTAATCACTTAGAAGGGTGCAAAAATACATCCGAGAAATACAGCATTAATAAAATAGAAAACTGGTTATGCAGACTTAAGGAGGATGAGTGAGGTTTACATCTGTTTCTTGTGTTTTATCTTTTTAGACAGTACATGGAAAATTCTAGTAGCTAGATAGAATTTTATACTGTGCAATAAAGTGATAGACATGTTTAGTCCCCTGTGCAATCTCCAGCTGCAAGCCATGTAGTCTTTGAGAACTTTCTGAACTGCATAATTCTGGGACTCGTGATATATCGCTGCACAGAATCGGACCTCTTACTATCCAAACTTCAGAATTTATAAGTCTGTTTAATTATACTGAAGTATATAACATATGACTTGGCACTGCATACACAGTGCTTCTCTAGTTTGTCTTAGAACTGTGTCATTACTGATGTTTTGGTTGTAGTTATTCTAAGAGAGAGAAGGAACCAGTGTCGTGTTGCATCATTTTTCTCCCTAAAGCAGTCTGCAGTCCGGATTGACAGACAATTTTTCCTGAACTGTCATTAAAACCAAGGAGCCCAACTGTCTCTTCTGAAGCCGTAATGTTTATCTGAGAACAGTCCATTTTCTGTCTCTCTCTCATCTTTTAATATGAAAGAGTTGGGTTTTTGTGAAATCCCAAGTTACTTTCTCTAGTGCACGATATAAACTAATTCTACCTTCTTAAATGTAATAAAGGGAAACCTACTTAATTTGAAAGTTACTTCTACAGGAAAGATTTAAAGGATATGGGGGAAAAAAAAAATTCCTACAATGTCGCCCTACAATATCACTACTTTCAGGTACATATTAGAGTATGTTTTAAATATAATAGATTTGATAGGTTATTCTCTGCCTTAACAGAAAATTTTGTACCTCTTCTGCTAAGTTTTTCACATTTCACCAGAGCAAGAAGTTTGTTTTCAATGGTCTCCATTTCTTTCTCAGCTGGTCCTTCTGAAACAATTTTCAAATAAAATGTGGGCTGATGTTTTGAACTTTTTCTTGAAGCAGATACTGTCAGTAAATACTGCAGACTACAAGGGCTTTCCATTTTGAAAAATTGGGACAGAGGGCACTGTGAAAAAAAGTAAATATTCCCAACACATTTTTATTGTTACCAAATGAATCAAGCTCAGTGGTTTAACTGTAATTTCGAAGTTAAATATTTAAATAATGCAAAGATTTCTGATACTGTGCATCTCTCTCTTTAAAATTAATAACATCATAACTGTTAAAATTCACCTTTTAATATCTAATTTTTCTTGGCAAAGCTAGGCATACATGCGCACAGTTTCTGAATTAGTTGTCTAAGGC